GGAGTTTTCCTGGGGAAAAGCACAGTTTAGCTGTTAATCTGTAAATACCAAAGCTTTGTGCTTGCATTGCATATTTAGGAATGTATTGTAATGTATGTTTTAGGAGAAAAAGTTGTCTGTCAGGTTTGCTTAGGTAGGCATGAATGCCTAATTCACTGGGAGTCAAGGAGATGGAATCCTAGGTTGTATTTCCAGGTTGCACAGATCCCTAATGTGGCAATCTTGTTTTGAATGGGTCAGGTTGCTTTGGTTCCAGGCAGTCTAGAATAAGTTAAACTGAGCAGACTGAAGAAATGAGGGGAACAAAAGGGAGATTAAGTATCAAAGGTTGGCTTCCAAGACTGTAAAATTAGTATAACAATTAAAAGTTGTACAGTTTAACATCAGTTCCCCACACTTTGTCGGGACTGCCATGCAACACAGAGAGTCCACAGCAGCCGGTGCAGTGAGGAGAGTGATCAAAACGAGGAAAATCAAACTGTGCTGTTTTCTCTTTTTAAAGTAAGTCTTCCTGTGTACTTTCCACAGCATCACATCCCATCCTATTGCTGTCAGTTTTGTGAGGGTGCTGGGTATTTTTAAAGAGTTTTCATCTGCTTCTAGAGGAGAAAGCTGACAAATCACTAAACCCACGTCTGGGTTACAGAGGAAACTGCTGTCTCCAAGTCTGAGAATCCTTGCTGCTAGGCTTGGCATTCTCATGGGATGATTCCTAATAATAAACTGAGCAAGCTTTAAAAACTAAATTTAAGTAATAATCAACCGAATAAGTAATGAATGCTGAATTAATTGCTTATTATATCAGTAGCAGTTAATTAAAATATCAGTGAAAGCTCAGAAAAACTGACAGCTACCCACTGAAATTGCAAGTGTGCCACAAACTGCTCAGTGCTGTGGATTCTTGTGGAACATGCATAGAAAGGAAATGGTTCATATGACTGATTAGCTGGCACAAGTGCTATGCACAAATGTCCCTGCTAATATTATAATCCCTGTGAAACAGTGACTAACCTTCTTAAAGAGTATAATAATGGGACTATTCTGAAAAATTTCAGTAGCCTCAAGACCTACACAGATTCACAAGTTGAAAGTGTTGAACAAATAGGTATGACTCAACTCTAATTAACATATACCCAAATATGTTTGAACAGATTCAAGTGTAACAGTCTTTTGTTACCTCCTATATTTGCACACCAATTTAAGGTCTGCACTTCTGAGTAAGGCCAGTAGCAATTGATCTGCAGTGAAGCGAGCAATGTACAATGTGGAGTCCCAAATGGTACACACATGTTTGGAGAAAAGGAGATTATTAATACTATTGAAATACCAATCAGAGTGCTTCAGCAGGCACCAGGCAGCTGCAAAACATTTAGGGACACCTCAGGAATTCCCTTGAGCAGAAGTGAGACAGGAAATAGTGAGAAGCTGAATAAAGTAGCTGAAGAAAATGCCTTTATTTAAAAGAGGGATGGATTCAAAAAAAGTTCAGCACATTCCATTGCAGAAGATGTCAAAGAAAATAGATTATGAATGATCTAAAAAGGAGAGGAAATATTGGATACAGAAAACATACATTTCAAAATTGAAATTTCAAACTTTCTTTCACATTATCTGGAACTTTGTCTTCAGAAAGTGGCTTGCTAGTTGTGAAGGTAATTGAGTTCAAAGGCAATCATTCCTGTGTGCTTACACAGTTATGTTTGGAGAAATGCCATTTAGTCATCACGTTAAATTTAGGGAATTTCACCTCACAAGTCTGTTCATAGTGATGAGCCCAATTTTTGCTCAGTGTGTTTAGTACGTGTTCCTTTTCAGAAGAAATTGGGCAATGTTTTAACACATGCTAGTTGAGTGGCTACTTTGATAGTCTCACATTCTGAGACAGGGTAAGCTTGGGACCAGAAAACGTTCTAAGCAGCAGTCCTTTAGTGTGCTGGTGGAGCTGTAGGGTGCAGTGAGCAGTGCACAAAGCCTGTAAGTGCCGAGAGGAGAGCTGCAGGCTCTGCCATGGCAAGTGCTGAGGAGCCAAGGGGCTGTGTCAGTGTCCCTGTGCTTCCCCGGGACTGTGAGGTGCTGCCTGTCATCTTGAACGAGAGGAGAGCTGCAGGCTCTGCCATGGCACGGTGCTGAGGAGCCAAGGGGCTGTGTCAGTGTCCCTGTGCTTCCCTGCCTGTCATCTTGAACGAGAGGAGAGCTGCAGGCTCTGCCAGGGCACGGTGCTGAGGAGCCAAGGGGCTGTGTCAGTGTCCCTGTGCTTCCCTGCCTGTCATCTTGAACGAGTGTCCAGCAACTGCTCCCAGCGTGAGCTCCCAGTGTGCCGATCTGGCATCCTCGTGGCAAGTGTGAGTGGGTCACTTGCCAAGAAAACAGCCGTGCTTTGGGGTTTTGTCAGCTTTTACCCAAGAAGCAGGCAGGGTGTGTGGAATGGTGCCTTTTAAACAGGAGGGCTGGAAGCTGAAACCAGAACATTCCCATTCCGTGGCAACTGGAGAAAGTTCTGAGGAAAGTGCTGTGAGAGAGGCAGGACCCCCCTCCCCCTGCCTAGAGGAGAGACAAAGAACAGGCGAGGAGGGAACTGAAATAGGAAGCAGGAACCATGTCAGGAGGCTGGGGGCTAAAAGAAAGCAAATTAATAAACCACTGGGGGAAAGGCACACAACTGTCCAAAGCCACTAGGAAAGATAAGCAAATTCCAGATTCTTTAACTGCTCCCTGTCTGTGTGTGCTTGCAGCCTGGCTAGTGAGTTAAACACAATCATTTTCCTCACAGTAGCAAGTACAACTTGTGTGCCTGTGGGACTTAAGAGAATACAGCACTGTGTTATCTACATAATAGGGTGTACTTAGGCTGGGTTTGTCAGCATTGCTGCCACTCCACCACGAATTTCCCAAAGTATATGTTCATATCAGGGTGTTCGCACACACAGTGCAGTAACAAAACGTTACTGGTTATATTCTGATTGCAGTAGAGACAAACAGTTCCTATCGAAAGCAGAAGAAATCTGGTGTACAGGCTGAGGGCACTGTGTGGCCTTAAGTGTTAATGTAATATTTTGAAAGTTGGAAGCTTGGTGCGCTCATTTGCACATCAGTACCCAGAATGCTTTTTCAGTTCCACCACTATTTAATTCAAGTGCTGGGTTTGAGCTTTTGGAAGGCTCTGTAGTTTGTGATGCCCTCACATGAGCCAAGTTCACTATTTTCCACAGAGTAGTTTAAGTGACAATATTGGATCGTGAATAGGAGGTCCAAGCATTCTTAATTAGGCTTGATGTTACAAATGCAAAAAAAAAAGTGTCCTTGAACACTTTTTTCCAAGCGTTGTCTTTAACAAAACAAAGAACTCTGTTTGGGGAATGTGTGTGTGTGATGTGTGTGTGGGGGGGGGGGATATGTTTTTTTCAAAAGTAGAGAAAAATTCCTCTCTGAGACAGAAAGCAGATTTCAGACGCAAATGAATAACGATGATGTTGAAATAGCTGCTCTTCATAGAGAGACCTCGAGCACACAGGGAAGATTCAGCACTAGGACAGTCCAGGCAGCCCCGCGCAGTGAATCCGGCGGAGCATTTCGGAGCGTTTAACCTGGGCCCGGGGAAGGGTAACTCGAGGGAGCGGGAGCCTCGCCGCGCTGGGGCGTGGGGCGCTCCGGGCGCCGTGGGAACCCCGGGTGCGCGGGAGGGGCTCCGCGGGAGCAGCTTCGCCAACATGGACGCACCCGGGGCTCTGAGGTGCCCGTGCTTCCCGCAGCCCCCGGCCCGCGGGTACCGTTCCTCCCAGCCGCTCCCAGGGGGAGGGCATTTTCGCACTGGAAGAATTCCCGCTGCACCCCTTCCCTCCCCCACAATGCCGGCGCCGCGCTCTTCTAGCGAGGCTGAGAGTTGATCGCGTACGGGGGGTGGGGGTGAGAAATGCAATGAAAGACCGGGGGGAGGCCGGTCTGCGCTGCAGCCCCTGGCCCCTCTGGGATCGGCTCTCCTCAGGCGAGCCGAGGAGGTGGGGGCCGCTCTGCGCCTCTGCAGCTCCGGGAGGGTTTGCATTGGACGATTCGCGCCTGGGGAGGGGGGAAGGTTGCCTGCAGCCCCCCCCGCCGGCCCCTCCTCCTCTCTCCAGCGGGAGGGGGGTCTCGGGGGCGAGCTGCAGCCCGGATATTTGGGGGAGGGGGCGAGCGCAGCCCCACCACCCCCGTGAGCCGCAGGGGGGGGCCTCGCTGCCGGCTCGGCATTGGAGGATCGGTGCTGGGGAAGGGGGAGACTGCAGCCCCCAGCCCCCGCGGGCGGGCGGGGTGGGGGCCGGCCTGCTGGCTCTGGCTGCTCTTGCATTGGCGGATGCGGGGAGGGAGGGGGGCAGGAAGCGGGGGGGCAGGGGGGGAGCCCGAGTGGCTGGAGGGGGGGTCTCCGCGAATAGGGTGGGGGTCTTCTCGTCCAAAGAAGAGAGGAAAGTTTGCGGCGCCGGTGGTGAGGGTGCGTCGAAGCGGGCGGGGCCCGGACCGGGGCCGGCGGCGGCGGCGCTTGGTCGGGGAGCAGCAGCCGGGGGGCCCCCGCTGGATTTTTGTAGGGGGGGTGGTATCGCCCCCTCCTTCTCCTCCCCCCAGGGGTGAAAGTGCAAGAGGAAGTGCAGCCGCTGCCATCTTTCCTCCGCTCCAAACACACAGGGACGGACGGAGCCGGCAGCCCGGAGCCGCCGCCGGACCCCCGTCCCTCCCGGCTGCAGCCGCCGCGCCGCGCACGCCCCTTCCCGCGGCGGCTCCGCGGCCGCAGCGCCTCGTGGCGGCCGGGCCCGGGCGGGGCTCGCGGGGCCGCGCGCGCGCCTCGGCCGCCCGAGCCTTTTGTCTCGCCCCCCCCGCGCCGCGCGAGCCCCTCGCGCTGTGCAGGGAGCGCCGCGCGCGCGCCGCCGGCCCGGGCAGGGGCGGGGAACGAGCAGGAGGAGGCGGCGCGCGCCGCCGGGCGGCCCGAGAGCGCGCGCGCCCCCTGCGGGCGCCGGCGGGGCGGCGCAGCCCCCATGGAGCGGGTGAGCGAGGCCGCCGCCTGCGGCCCCTCGGCGGGCTGCTACACCTACCAGGTGAGCCGGCACAGCGCCGACGTGCTGCACAGCCTCAACCAGCAGCGCAAGAACGGCGGCCGCTTCTGCGACGTGCTCCTACGCGTGGGCGACGAGAGCTTCCCGGCGCACCGCGCCGTGCTGGCCGCTTGCAGCGAGTACTTCGAGTCGGTGTTCAGCGCGCAGCTCGGCGACGGGGCAGGTGGCGGCGGCGGCGGCGCGGAGGGGAGCGCGGCGGAGGCGGCGGCCGGCGGGGCTGCGGCGGCGACCGGCGGCGCCCCCGGGGGCGGGCGGGAGCTGGAGATGCACACCATCAGCTCCAAGGTGTTCGGGGACATCCTGGACTTCGCCTACACGTCGCGCATCGTGGTGCGGCTGGAGAGCTTCCCGGAGCTCATGACGGCCGCCAAGTTCCTGCTGATGCGCTCCGTGATCGACATCTGCCAGGAGGTCATCAAGCAGTCCAACGTGCAGCTCCTCGTGCCCCCCGCACGCCCTGACATCATGCTGTTCCGTCCGGGGGCCGCCGACCTCGGCTTCCCTCTTGACATGACCAACGGTGCCGCTTTGGCCCCCAATGGCAATGGCATCGCTGGCATGCCTGAAGACGAGGCCACGCGGGCCGCGCTCACCGCTGCGCAGTCCTCCCTGCCTGTCCTGCAGGGCGTGGACCGCCTGCCCATGGTGGCCGGACCTCTGTCCCCACCACTGCTGGCCTCGCCCTTCCAGAATGTTGCTGCTAGTGCCCCCACTTTAAGCACCAAGAGGGGCAGAGGGCGTCCCCGTAAAGCCAATCTCTTGGACTCCATGATGTTTGGTAGCCCGGGGGGCCTGCGAGAGGCTGGTATCCTGCCTTGCGGTCTCTGCGGGAAGGTATTCACGGATGCTAATCGTCTTCGGCAGCACGAGGCTCAACACGGGGTGACAAGCTTACAGCTGGGCTACATAGACATCCCACCCCCACGGCTGGGTGAAAATGGGGTTCCCGGTCAGGACGATCCCGACGCACCTCGGAAAAGAAGCAGGACGAGGAAACAGGTGGCCTGTGAGATCTGTGGCAAGATTTTTCGGGACGTGTACCACCTGAATCGGCACAAGCTGTCACACTCTGGCGAAAAGCCTTACTCTTGTCCGGTGTGTGGCTTGAGGTTCAAGCGAAAAGACAGGATGTCCTATCATGTTCGATCGCACGATGGCTCTGTGGGAAAGCCCTACATCTGCCAGAGCTGTGGAAAAGGCTTTTCCAGGTAAGAGAGCGCTTGTATGGACATCGACACAGAAACCTAGGGAGGTGACTGCCGTCCCTCGGAAATGTACTTAGGGTAGTTTGACTGTTCCACTTTAGAATGTTTAAAGAAATGAGACTTCCATCGTTTCCTCTGAGATGCTGTTCTGCAGTCTCTTGGAAGGGTTCAAAAGTAATTAAGCCATTGAACTGGCAGTCAGCTGGTTTCTGGCTAACGTTCCCAGCTTTGTCCCGCAGTTGCTGTGTGCGTGTCCTTGGGCGAGTCAGTCAGGCTCTGCCTCAAATGACTCTTCTGTGAAATGGGTATTGCAATAATTACCTGCCTCACAGAAGTGTCCTGAGATCGCTGATGTGTAGGTAGCTTGAAGGTGCTGTTGAAGTGCAAAATAGTACATCTCAAGATTATTATTTTTCTCGTATCCATTTTAAATTTTCTTTTTCTTAACTTCCCTTCATTTCTCTTAGTTCGTAATGTTTTTTATCACCCAAATGTGAAGGAAGAGGTGAGATTTCAAAGGCTGCAGCATCAAGTATCTTTTAATACATGATCTTTGTGTCCTTTGGGTTTGCATCCTTCTGAAGGGGATCCTGTTTCTGCCCTGCAACATACGTAAGATCTGTGCATTTAATGTTGCTGATTTTTTGTTGTCGCTGTTCGTGGGAGCTAATTTAATAAGTAGTTTGGTACACGTAGTTGTGGTAGTGACATCTCATAGTCTTGAGTTAATGAATTCAAAACTTTTTTGGAAGTTTGCCGCTCGCTTTCAGTGTAGAAGTAGTGGGGGGGAGGGGGATGTACTCTGCTATTTCTGAACCAGCAGTCGGTTTTCCACAGCAGTTGATTTGCTCTGACGTGAGGCAAGGACTCGAGATCTGAAAACAATTCAAAAGGCCACCAGGCTGTGTAAATCGTTGAATTTTGCCCCTGCTCTCTTTTTGATAGAGGGACTTTCTGTTATTGAAATAAATTATGAAAATGTAGCCCTCCCCCCCTCCCTTTTTAAATCGGCAGTAATTAGGGATGCATCTTCATAAGGACTGCAGATCGAGTGATGGAAGGTCACAAAATGAAAATTTCATCTGTGGCTAGAAGTGAAAGTACTCTTCTTACTATAGCGCTCCCCGGGATCGTGTGCCAAGTTTCCTTGTTTTTATTGACACCTAAAGATTTCTGCTGTTGCTGTAGGAAAGGTTTTTGTCATTAAGGGGAAGTGAGACACCCTCGTTGAGTTCTCATTTTCCTCAGTAAGTTCACGTGAACAGGCGGGAATGCTGTTACAGAAGTTAACAACAAACCCGTTTGCGTATCTGTAAAACCGAAGTATGAATGAAAACCAGAGGCTCTGTCAGTATTCACTCTTAGGAGCAGCAGAGGAAGTTGAAGTGTGATCTCTGATTTTAGTGTCCTTTCCTGTACTCAGTAGCGCAGCAGGTGAGGTGGCTGGGCTTGAGGGACCCAGAGGACCCCAACCAGTCCGTCCGGTTACACCGCTCCAGCCAGCGCTGCAGCAGCGCCTTTGGGAGCCCCGCTGCAGAGTCCCAGCCTCGTTTGTGTCTGCAGGGCGTGAATTCCATCCCGTGCCCTCTCATTGGTGCGCCGGGGAAGTTGGGGGAGGAGAGGGTGGAGAACTTGTTTCCAAGCAGTTTTGGGCTCATACAATGAAAAGCTTTCTTCCCGCTAGGAGAAACTCCCACCAGGACACTCTGCAGCTCTTCAGCCCTTTCTTCCTCCGAGCAGGCTTTGCTGGTTGTGAAGAATGCTCTAACTTTGTACAGTAATGATTTGCTCTTCCATTGCACCTTCTAGTGGGAACGTTCAGAGCACTTTATTTTATTTGTATGAGTGCAGTCTCCCTGCCAAGTCCTAAGTTAGGAGCATTTCTTCATCTTGCAGGTGGAAAATGTGTCACAGCAACAGAATTTAGATAGGGTTTTTTGCAAGAGGTGCTTAAAGTTGGCTTTTTACATCTGTGTTTAGGACATAAACCAAAAGGATGTGATTTTCAAATATTCAGCAACTGTCAATCAAAGTGCCCTGATTGTTAAGGTCTAAATAGGATTTTGGATGGGGATATGCAGGCTTGAAAATCATAACTTGTATTTCCTGTTTCCTCTGATCATTCAGTCATGATTTCTTCCTGAGAAAATGCTGCTTTTTAGCAAGTTGCAGAGGGTACATAACCAGGTAGAGTCCCAGTTGTTGGCAATCTGGTTCTTGGAAAGTTAAAATCACTACAGTTGTCATAGATACAGCACTGGGATCTTTTTTTTTTCTTTTTTTTTTTTTTTGTGTTAAAATTGTAACTTTACTTTTAGTATTTGTTTTAAGTGTGTTTATGTGTGTTTTCCTTTAAGGCCAGACCACTTGAATGGACACATCAAACAGGTGCATACCTCAGAGAGACCTCACAAGTGTCAGGTAGGAGCCAGAGGGGTTTAGACTGATGTTGTGGGTAATCTTTGGCATTGCATTGATGTGTGCAGACAACTTTGAAATAGCATGGATCTGTGATTTAGGATAAATGTGTGAAGAACAGTGTTCCACAGTGACATCTGCTTTACCTCCCTCCCTTCCCCTCTCAGCCCACAGCTTTGGTCCTCCTGCCTCTCCCACCACTGCTCTTCCCTGCTCTGCTGTCCCAGTCTCACCCTGGATCTCTTCCCCAGCCCCCTGGGCTTGGAGTCCATGTCCCTGATGATTCCCTCCCTTTTTTTTAATTGCAGTTGTTGCCATCAGGAGGCTCCAATGCTGACTTCATTTTTTTAGAATAACTTAAAAAAAATTAGTAAATTGTAATTATCATAACATGTCAAGATACTATTTTTTAAAATTGCATAGCCTTCAGAACATTGCACTGAGCAAAATTGGGAGCTTTTTTATCTCAGGGAGAATATGAATAATGACATCACAATGTCCTTTGTTGTACAATGTCATAATGTTGTATGTAGTTTTTTATAGTTAATAAGGTTTGAAAGATGAAATGAAGGAAGATACTTTGTAATCTATTTATAGAAATATTTAAAAGGTGCCTGGAAGTATCAATTAAAACAAAGTTGAGAATCAGCTTCCACCATCACACATTGCCATCAGAGAGATGCTGGGCAAGCTTTTAAAACAGTTGGGCTAACAATCTCCATGCTTGGCTTCTGAAGAAATATTTAATATTTATCTCAAGAAGCTGAATCAAGACTCTGTTCTTTTTTTTCTTTTGAGGACAGTGAAGGTTAGAGGATTTTTTTCTTCTGAAATATTTAACCACGTTTTATGAAGCTAAACAATACATGATTGCTGCCTCCTGATCTGCATTGTTGCACGTTTTGACACACCTCTATTTCCTTCAGATTGTGAGAGGTTTCAAACATTTTGAAATTTTAAGAATCCTGATAAGATAAGAGAGCTGGAGCCATCCAAAGGTTTCTGTTGGCATCCATGTGATCTGTGAAAGCCCAGCACGTTTGGAAGTCAGGGCATGGAGCTGTCACACTGATTTAACTGCCTGTCCTGCATAAAGCCTGACATGGGCTCAAGCGTCTTGAGATGATTTATGGGCTACAGATTTATACAAACCAGAAAATTCCACTCCTAAAAAGAATTCACAGTGTGGGGACAGTGAACTGATGATGAGTGTTTACATCCAACATGAACAGCCACCCAGCTGATCCCAAGATCACTGGCTGAACATTGTTCACAGATAACAGGGATAGCTGTGAATCATCCTTTGCCAGCTGATGACCGATATTTCTTTTGTAGTTTAACATTGATTTAAGAATAATAAATACCAACTCTGTGTGAATCAGAGGCTACATTAAGAGCTCAGAAGTAAAGAAACATGGAAGCTGAGATGGCACAGCCAAGCTCAACTCCATTTCCTTGCACACATGTGTTTTGTGATAGCAGTTTCCAAGAGCAGTCTTTCTTCCTGTGTCTTATCTAAAGTGCCATAATACTGCATAGACTGCTCATTTCAGCTGTAGGTTACAATCATCAAGACAGAGTTGAGATTGTCCTTCAGGCTTGGGTTGTTCTTGATTTTTGATTGCTTAGCCCCACTGAGTTAATTTTTCGTGAATCTTAAGGCACAGAAAATTTAATGACCTGTTGTGTCTTTGCAGAAAATGCTTTGCAATATCCTATCGGATTTAGAAAGTCTTCTAGAATATCCACAGATCTGCTATACATTGTAGAAACCACAGAAGGGATGCAGTCACTGAAAACTTGTTCCAAATATGAAAAGTGATGAATAAATTGATGATGTTCTCCCTGTGATTATCTCATAATCAGTTATGCATCTGTTCCATTATATGTATCTAACACAAGATCTGGCCACCAAGAAGGAAAACAGCTTAATATTGGCATGTTGTTTGCCCATTTTCCATTCTCTTTTTCCATTGATCTTGTTTGGCAAATTATCTCCCCCTGAGAGCAGCCTGAACAGCATTGAGCATCCTTTTTGAATCTGCTCAGTTCCTGTTGAAAATTCCTGTTATTGTCATGCTTTGTTTATGTTTACTGGAAAAGAGAATTACTCCATAAACAGCAGAGCACTCCAGCATCCTCTATTGTAATGGCATTTTTGAAATTTATGCTCTGTTCTGATTTAAACTGGCCATTTACCTGAGCTCTTAGACATCTTTGCAAACTGGTGATATATAATGTTTTGTTGGTGTGGTATCACAGCACACTTTGGAGTGCCAAAAAGTGGGAAGATATCAACCCAACTTCAGAGTGAATGAAAGTATGAGAAACAGGACAATTTTAAGCTGAACATGCCTCCAACAGCAGTGGTTTTCAGTGCTCAGTTTGTAATCCTGCACTCATCCCCCTGAAATAACAGCTGTGCTTCACAGATCTTTCACAAGTATCCAACTTCCAGCACCTCTAGCACCTGATGCCAAAGCCTTGACTCCAGCTTTTGCATTGCTGTTCATGTAGACTCAGGTTAGGGAGGATCTCCACAGAGCCAAAGCAGCTGAGAAATCAGATCCAAGGAGTTGCTTTGGTGTCCAGGTAAAAGGCACTCTGGATCTTTTCCCCTGGATTGTTGCACTGGTGGATTTATGCTTTTTCCCCAGTCTGACAGTTGAGTTCTGGCTACAGGAGGAGGAGTGAGTCAGTTTTGTGGCCAGCGTGGGGCAGCTCCGTTTCTGACCCCTTGGGATGGGGCGGAGCTGTCAGCCACGGGTGAACGTCAGGCTGCGGTCTGGGAGCAAGCACTGATCTGAAAATCTGTGCACATGAAAGAGCAAGGGGAGAAAATGGAAGTTTGTTCCTCTCAGAGACAAGACAGGTTGTTCATCAGGCAAATTCAATAAAATTAAAAATGCTGGTTAAATTAAAGCACAACCTAATTGGCATCCCAAGTCCAGTGCATATCCCATTGATTTCAATGCAGAATGAGTTTCTTCCTGTCCTAATTTCTCTTACTTCCTGCCTATTAGCAGGAAAATGGCAGCCACCATGGAATAAGCTCAGAGACATCCACATCCATAGAAAAGTTGAAACTTCAAGAGGTATTTCTTAAACAATGTTTTTTAAACTTTATATATTCTTTTTGATCTATTTATATACCTGTGCAATGTTTGATAGGAAAGCACTGGAGAGTTTTCTTCTATGATTAACAATTAATGACAAATACTTAGCACTCATTTAGCACTTCACATCTTTCATAAAATAAAACTTTTTTTTTCTCTATACCTTTTATAAATATTAACTATTTGAATATTAACTTTGGGATTTTCTTTAACCCTAGTCCTGTCTCCCATTGTTATGATTCAGCTAAACTGGTTCTTGCTTTCTCCACTGGACCTAATTATTGTTTTGAAGCTTTGTTGCAGATATATTTATCATATAGCTTATCCAAAGGTGAGCTTTACACAACTCAGCAGCAACAGTGAGAAATCAAACACAGAAATTATTATATTGCTTTTGCCTAAGCTTTCAACTTGCTAAGTTCACTGTGGGATAGCTTTGGTTTTACTTTGGCATCGCTGTATTTATGTGATTTGTCTCAATGCTTCTCATTGGCTAAAGCACTCCCAATGCTGGATATGGACCTGCCTGTGGCTCCACAGCTTTAGAATTGTTGGTGATGAACCTTGTGGCTGTCATTGGTGATACTCTGGTCATCCATCCCTAGCAGAGACCCAGCAGAGTGATTAGTGCTGCAATCCTGCCTTAAGGGAGTGCTTACCTCTAAGAGCACTTTAGTGAGTGAAAGCTGCACCTGTTTTGCTCAGCGCTGTGTACTGAGATTACAAATGAAATCTTTCATGTTTAAGAATTTACCTCTTAAACCTCAATACTTGTCATTTAGAAATCTTTTTCTGGTGGGCATAGTTAAACGGTGTATGTCACAGAAATCCAGATAATTTTACTGTTGTCCTTGGAATTTCATTCAGTCCTGATCCTCTGGGGTGTTAAGTCTTGTACTTGCTGCAGAGCAGCCTCAGCTCCATGGGAGTTTTCCACACTTAAGCATCTCACAGGATGGAATGGGTGTAAAGCCTGTGTAAATTGATAGGTGCTTTTCAGCTGCCTTCAGTGGATTTTGGATTAAGCTCTTGATTAACTGAATTTTATGTAACTACATTATTCTCTTCTGTATTATCAATTCCACTTACTTGAATTATAATTTTGGAATTTTACTAAGATTGTTACTTTAACAAGTCTTTTTTCTATTGAAACAGTGGTTTAATTACACACTGATATTTCAAAATACAACTTAATACCCAGTTCCCAAGACAGTGAGCAGCCTCATATTATTTTTTGGGGGTTTCTGGTTATATCTCTTAAAACTGTGATATTTTATATAAGTTGGTATAAACAAAACACTGTACACTCTTGAATGTCACTGCTCTGGCTTGGTCTGGTTGTTCTGATGTGTGTTTGCTTTTGTTTCTCCTCCTGCACTTGTGGAATGGTTTAGACTATAACCCTAATGCCTTGTGCAGCATTTTGCTGGTGATTTATTTCCTTTCACACCTTAGAGGCAGAGCAAGCCTTTCAGAACCTGCAGGCTGCTAGAACAGGCTGTGGGCACAGCCTGCCTGCCTGCCCATTGCTGGGGTTAGACAAATGGGAGGGAGCCTCCATTTACCATGCAGATTTCAGCTGGAAAGTGGGCAAAGAGAATCAATATTATCTGATGCCAAATCAAACTTGTTTTTGGCAGTAAGTGGAATATGATGCCTTGACCAGGGGTAAGTTAAAACAGATGGCAATGTCATGCAGTAATTTTGATACCTGCTCAGTTTTGAGGCCTCACTGCTATGGCTTGTGTGCAGTGCTGCTGTGGGTACCAGGATGGCTCCTCCACTGTCTCTCGTCATACCCTCATCCCAGATAATTCTGGGATCCTGTGCTGTATGTCCTCACACCCAAAAAGAATTCTGTGTACTGAAGTTAGATTTATCTCATCAAAGAGTAGAATTGAGGAAAATGACAGAGAGGACATTTGAGTGGTTTAAAGTGATTGTAATGGCTCAGTGAAATAGCAGAACTTATTGTAAACACAGCAAAGTGCTTTCTGCTATTTCTTTTGTTAAATATTACTTAAAACTTTAGTATCTTCATCCTCAGAAAGGAGCTAAAACCTTACAAATCTATCTTGGAGTAAGTTTTACTGTCTGTAGTGTGTCAGAGCTGTTTTCTTGCTGCTTTAATTCTTTTGAGTGGTACCATTACAACTTGTGCAACATGTTGGTGTTGTGAATTTTTTATCTGGGAGAAAATGCCTTGTGCATCGTGTCATTTTTTGTGTTTGCACAATATCTAAGGTATTTACTCTAAAGAATACTAAATCTATCCAGCAATATCGGTGCTGTTAGCAGAGCTGATGAGTCACATGGTTCTCATTTTACCTGCAGACCTGCAATGCTTCCTTTGCCACTCGGGACCGGCTGCGCTCGCACCTGGCGTGTCATGAGGACAAGGTCCCGTGCCAGGTGTGTGGGAAGTACCTGAGAGCAGCATACATGGCAGATCACTTGAAGAAGCACAGTGAAGGACCAAGCAATTTCTGCACTATCTGTAACCGAGGTAATGAAGAAACTGGGGTTTAATTCCACTGGGATGGGCCTGCACTCGAGGGGAGCTGTGAGGCTGCGTGACTCCCTGCAACAGGAGGAGGTTGGACCCTGTTTGTGCACACACTCTGCTTTTCCCATTGAATCCTTAACCCTGATGGAGTACAGGTCTGGCCTTTTCACATGGCAGATAGTTCCCAAAGAAACACAGTTTAAATCTGAAGCAAATTTTATTTGCTAAATAGCCAGATCCCTCTACAATAAACATGATAAGTTGCCTTGCTGTTCAACGTACATCATCTTATCTTTTTCCTATACCTGATTAGACTGGAGCCCTTGCAGTCAGTTTGGAAGAAGAATGTTTTTGTATCTTTGAAATACACATCAAGTTGAAAATCATACACTGAACATGAATCCTACATTGTGTTACTAAGTATTACTTAACCTCCTGGTGCAATAGAGTCAAGCTGCTTCTCCCTCTTAATTGCTTTGTACTAATGTACATTTCTAAAACATACTTTGTAAAGAGCACTAGAAATGTGGTTCACCTTTATTTGTACAAATACACCTTTTCACAGTTGGAAGGGACCCATAAAGATCACCAAGTCCAACTCCCTGCTCCATGCAGCACTATGTAAAACTAAACCATATGACTGAGCTTGTGAAGCTTTCCCATCTTTTTGTGGTACTTTTCAGTTGGAGAGAGTTGGAAATTTTTAGGCTTTGTGGGATGTAAGGCAAGCTGGAAAAATTATTTTGACTTATTGGTGTCTTTTTTATGAGGGATTGAGTCACAACTTGAAAATGCCTTTTTGGCTCACACAGGTTATATGTAGCTAGTAGGTGTTAGAAGAGATTGCTGCTGTGTTTTGGGATTTGTTTGTTCTGGTGAGTCTTTTTTCCTGACATGTGTTCCTTTTTCTAGTTTAAGAGAGGTGAAATCCTTTGAGAAAATAAAGCTCTTCTGTGTTTAATGTGCAGACTACAGGGAGCTTGTGGAGTTAAAGAGTAATGAGACATTCAATTGCAAGGGAGGTGTTTCTAGTTAAACAATTCATAAATCCTGAAAGTGATGTTATCTGTGAATGGAAAAGGCATCTGGGTTGGAAATCTTCATGTTTTGAAGCTCCAGGTAGATGGTGTGAAATGAAGCTTGCCCTCCTTTTCACAAGGCCTGGCTTCTGAAAAACAGTTTAAGCTTATCCTGATTGTTTTTGTGGCAACCACCTGGCAGATACTGTTTGAGATCAGGTGCTGTCCTGCTCTCCTCCCGTTGAACATTGTGCCAAACAGAAACTCACATGGGTTGGGAGGAATTGTCTTGTTTGCACGATTGGTAAGCTTGAATTTCAACTTAACTACCACTGGATGTCACTGCAGCTCTTCGGAAATGGAGCCAGAGTGACAAAGACAGACCCGGCATTCAAACAATAACATGACTAAGTGGTTTATTCACATTTTACAAGTCTCAATGTACAGTGGGGTTTAAATAAAATCTATACTTCTCTGTAGGAGGATAGGGAACCTGTTGTACAGCAAACTTTAAGCAACTGCTTTCTTCTTACAGTTTGTGTATTTTATGGGAGTTGTCACAATTGTCTGCTGTGAATTTCAGTTTGCAGCAGGATTTAAAAAATGTAATTATGAATAATGAATAATGTTAAATTTCATAGGAAGTGTTAAATTTCATAGGAAGGGTAAGCTACAGACTGGATTTATCAAACAGTTGTGTTGTAAACTTATTGTTTTATGCTGTAAATTTTGATTATAGGTTTATAATCAATGTCAGCAGAATTTTTAGTCTCAGGTGTTCTAGAATCAACATATAATGTTCATTTTTTAAATAATTATTTTTTAAACTGTAGAGCCTGGCAAGATGAAGTCTAATGGAAAATTTCTGGATTAAAAATATCTATTTGATAGGCATTGGTGCAGTCAGAAGCCACAGACAGTAACCTGATCACAGCTGTGCCATGGCTGAGGTGCTTGTGCACAGAGGTTTTGTTTATTCTTCCCTTGGCTAATGTGCTGCTGTATTTTTTAATTGAAACTTAGCTGGTTCTGGATATAGTAATTGTCAGCCTCTGGATATGGTAATTGTCAAGCAAGAATGCTCTGCAAGCTCAAGCTGCTTGTGGAGAGAATTTTGGATGTTGGCCATTAAAAAAAAATAAAAAGTGGATGGAAAGGTGACATTCCTGGTGTTAATGAGAGACTCAGGCTCCCTCAGGTTATCCCACTGGACTGAAGGCTTTGCTGGGGACCTCAGTGAAGTGTCTGGGGTTGTTCCAAAGGTTTGATGGCTTCAGGAGATGGGGTGGAATCAGTACCTGCAGAAAGCAGGAGGCAATAGTTTGCCATGTCATGTGCTTCACTTGTTTATCATACTAACTTCCTTTACAATGTGGCAGTATAATTTGTAAAATTAGCAGCTGTGATTTGATGTTTTTTCCAGGTTGTTTTCTTACTCAAGGTCTTTATGCTCAGAGTAATCATGGAAGCAATTCAATCTTGTTAAACCAGGGGAACAGTGAAGTGGTTCTGGGGGCTTTGTGTTGGGTTTTTCCCCCCCCCTGGGATTTTAGGGGTTGTTGCTTTTTCTTTTTTGGTTTGGTATTTTGTGGTTGTTGTGGGGGTTTTTTCTTAAAGAATTTGTCTAAAATGTGCTTTAAAAACTAATCCTCAAGCCTCACATTTTTAGACAAATTCTCTTTAATTGGTTTAAATAAAGAAGACATGGTCCTGTTGTGTTGTTACACAATCTTTTACCATCCTTAGGGACTTTATTTGCTTGTGTGGGCTTTTTCAAGGTATTCCAGAGATTAATGACTTTGGTAATGACACCTGCAGCTCACAAGTTTGGGGTTATGTTTCAAACACATACACATTGTTTGCTTCACAGAATCAAATTAGTTAGGAAAAGGGTAAATATTCCAATCACAAATGAGAATTTCTTTTTTCACACTGAGTTCTTGTATATTTAATGGGGGACAGAACCCAGTAAATAAAGACACATTTTCATCATGTTCCAGTTAAATCCAAATTACAGTTTTTGAACAAGGAGCATCCTGCAATTATTTCTATAGTTTATCTCCTTATAGACCTTATCTAAGAGATCAGAGGACAGGTCCCATTTGTATAAAGGAGATAATTTCTTCTCTATACATGTTTTGAATATTGGTTCTTCTGGTATGAAGAACTAATCTGTCTTGCAAAGTAGAGAGATGTGTGTGAGTAAAGCAATAAATACCTTCCTGCTCTGAAAAATACTGCCACTTTATCCTCTGGATTAGTGTGCCTTTGCTCTGAAAGAGACTTTTATTATGGTCTGTAAACCCCCATCTTCCTAGGACAGGCATTCATCATTAAAGGCTGGTGGAGATAAAAAAGCCAGTCCTAAGTGCTACAGGAAAAAATTAGGATAAAAACAACCCCAAAAGTCTCCCTTGAAACAGTTTCCCATGAAGCTGTTGGCATTCTTAGGGTTTTGATGGGAGTTGATGACTCACATGTTCATCTGCCAAGTGCATAAAGGGGAGCTAACACTCTTTGCAGCAGTTCCCATTCTATAAAACAATGTACTCTCCAAATAGAACTGCAGAGTTCAGGAAAAATCCTGTGTGCAGAGATTACAAGTTCAGATTTTCCTGTGTCAGTTGTGGTGTAGAAAAACACTGAATACCTGCATGTAGTCCTTTTTAATGGCTGGCAGGGAGATTTTAATGCATTGCTGCATCAAAGGGGTTGATCTCAGCATGCATGTGGTTATTGGCCACATGTGTGAAATAAGGAAAGCACCTCCCAGGTGGAATGTCACCATTATATCTGTACACTGTGCCCTTTTCTCTGCCAGTCAAATCAAAGGCTGGTTCTTTCAGGGCTACAGTGAATTTTTGGTATTTGTAAGAATATATTCTCTTGCTGCCCAGTGAGATTTTCAATGCAGCACTTTGTGTAGGGTAGGTCTTGCATTATTTCAGAGGATAATATCCTTACCTGAATTCCCTGGATCTCTTGGCCTTGGTGATTCTGCTCCATTGTATTTGGAGAGCCATGTGCTCTTGGTTTCTTCAGTTGTGATGTATCTACTTGCTGTACTTTTATCTTCAGCTCAGGGGCCCACAGGAGCTCCCTCTTGTTCATTCTCAGCAGCCTGCCCCTTTTCCCTTCAGCAGCCTGCTTGGAGCTCTTGCTTTGCAGGTCCTGTATGTATAATTCTTAATAACCTCTGGATAAAAGTCAGGGTAGAGGGATATTCTGTGTGCTAGGCACAGGGAAATCTAGTGGAAAGCCACATTCATTATTGAATTCAGCACCTGAAACTATGAGCTGCAGTCAGAAAATCCACCCCAGAGAGGTGTGTAGTATTTGCTTTGCAGCATTCCTAATATATTACTGTATATCATCAAGTGTAACTGCAGTTATATCAGTATAAAAATGGCTTTATGGTAGAATATCTACTCATATTTTAAGGAAATTATTGTTATGGAAGTTCTCTTGCAAGGACTTGTGCTGTAAATGCTATGTTGGTTTAAAAAAAATCTAGAGCTTGGGTTTTCTCTCTCCAGAAAGGGAACCTGCAGCTCTGGGTCTGCCATGGTGAACCTTGTGTTGTGTTTTCAGTTGTTAGTGGGAAATATTTCTATCATGAAAGTGCCATAATACTCTGTTCAAAGTATAACAGCAAATTAAGCTGGTTGGTGGTGGCAGCTTTATCTCTGTAGGAAGTCTTTAAAACTCTGCCTCATACATGGTCCAAATGTGCTAGTAGTGACTGCAAATCTTATATTGAGGTTGAATTTAAAAACTTTCCAAAGTATATGTGAGATAATTGATTGCATTAAAAAAACTGACACGAGACTTAAAGAAACATTTTAAAAAGCACATGCACAAATGTCAAAAACTGGTTTGTTCAGAAATCAATTGTTTGATATAAATGTTTTTATTTTCAGTGTTTGGTGCTTACAGATCAGAGCTAAGAAAAATACTGAAATTTATTTTTAGTACTTTTTGATAACTGTAGACAAAATATGAGTTCTAGTATATTTTTTTAAACTCAGGGTGAGCTGACTGCAGAAAATGTTTTTTTCAAAAATTACTATTGAGCAAAAGTGTATACCTTAAAAAGTGAATAGTTTCAGCTTTCTGCCTTCTAGAAGTCACTATAAGTGCTATAGAAACCTAAGGGGAAAGCACACTAAACCAGCAAGGGTTGTTACTAGATAGCATTCCTTCAGATCTTAACAGCACAAAATCAACTAATTGGAACTATCTTCCAATGTATTATCAGATGACAAAAGCATTTTTAATTAAAATAAATAAAACAGCAGAAAAATGGTGAAGAGACATGGGTGCCTTTTTGTATGATGTCTCTTCTGCCTTTTTTCCAGAAAGTTTCATGTCACCTGCTAGGTTTGCTTACACAGAATTTGTTTTTAAGGAGGCTGCTCTCTCTTTGTGACTAACAAAAAGCAAACCCAGTCTGCTGAAAAGTGTGCATGGCATTTCTGCCTGAGGATGACAGGGCTCCTACGTGGGCACGTCCCAGGGAACTGGTGGAACAGCAGCTTGAAAAGAGGGAGCAGGAGCAAGAGAAAGATGAAAGAGCAGGGAAGGCAGATGTGTGTCTTTGCTGGTGGCAGGATCTCATCTCCTTTTATCTTGTTTAGGTTTCTCCTCTGCCTCCTACTTAAAGGTCCATGTTAAAACCCACCACGGTGTTCCCCTTCCCCAGGTCTCCAGGCACCAGGAGTCCATCCCGAATGGGGGAGCAGCGTTCCACTGCGTCAGGACCTATGGCATCAAAGGCAAGAGACTCCTGCTCTCACCTTGCTGCTCTGGGCAGGGCTTTGTGGTGTGGGGTGTCGGGCTGGGCTCGAGAAAGGGGAGGGAGGAAGGACAGGGAAATACTGGAGAGAAGCTTAGGGAGATGCAGAGAAATTCCATAGCACCACGTAGGATGTAATAGCTGCCATTGGAGAGCCAATTGAACAGTGTAGGGGAAGGAAATGGGCACAGAAGAGTATGTGAAGCTTTGGCAGCTTCTTCAGTTTGGAAGATTGAAAAAGCCACGTTAGTTCATCTCGACCCTCTTCCTTGGAGCAGTCAGCATCTGAATTTTGCCTGAGGGCAAATGTGTGAGTCCCAGTCCAGTTGAATCTCGCGTCAGTCAAACCCCTGTTTCTGGTTTTGCTAGGAGCCATACTGTACATGCAGCCAGCTGTCTGGAGCTGAACTTACACTTCTAAATGCAGTGTTGGAGAGGTGAAGGGTGATTATAGTACCGGTGCTTTCTTGTTTTGACATTCATTTAACTTGCTGGGGGGGAGAAAAAGTTGTTATTGTAAGCATAGCTGAGGAGTATTTAACTTGTGAATAAGTAAAGCAGTGTGTTTACCTGTGTAGAGTGGCTTTTTGCTTCTTGGTTTGAGCTGTCAGTATTCCTGGTGAAAGTGAAACATCAGAAAATTCTTCAAAGCCATGGTTGTTCTGTTTTTTTCTTGCCCAGGAGGACACAGAGGGCTGGGTTAAACAAATACTGTGCCAGCAGAAAGCTCGAGTTGTGTAATTTTGTCTGTTGAAGTCTTGATAGAGTTACTACAGAAGCCCTTTAGTTTTGGGTGGTGTGCTGACTTAACAAGAGATTTATTCCAGCTCAGTGGTGTATTGATTTCATGCATATCCTGTTAGGTTTGTAATGCTGAGTCCAGAGCAAATCTGTCTTTTGGGTTGTGCCAAGTGGTTCTTTGGTCTCTCAGAGTTAATAGTAGGTGCAGGCTGTTTGTATTCAGAGACTCCTTTAGTGAGCACGTCTGGGTTTCTCACGCTCATTCACATGCACTGAGCAAAAAAGTGTGGACAAACTTCCTTGGCATAATGCCAGAGGAGAATGGGGAAGACTCCAAACATACCAATGGCTTTGCCAGGAAATATATCCAAATAACTTAAATAACATCCCTAACTCTCTGCTGTTTCACACTGCAGTATTCAAAGATAGAACAATTTTAGGTTGTGAAGTTAATTTCTAACAGTGTTGTACTTGTGAAAAGGAGTTCCTTGAGACTAAATGGAATTGCACTTCTTAAATGGCAGTAGCTCACTGCTGTTTTGCTGAGTGTTTCCAGGTTTCTTGACATCTTGCTGCAGCCTGTTGTACTTCATGAAGTTTCTAGGCTCTCCCCCAAAGTATCAACAGCATTTCAGAAGTGTGCAAGTGAATTACACAGTTGAAAACTCATCATTAGGACCATCCTTTTGTAGTGTCTGAGGTGTAAACATTGTGAGACATCCTTGGGATTCAAGAAGTGTTGTGTGAACCAGAGAGCCATTATGGCTGCATTCAGTGCCATGACAAATCCCTGATGAAACCCCAGCTGTTGCTCTGATAGCAGCCTGGTGGTTGGAAAGGGGACCTGTGCTCAAGGGCTTTAGGATGTGAGGGATTGGATGTTAAGTGTGTATCATTCTGTTGTGCCAGGCATTCATGTGATCAGGTGGTAACCAATCTAATTTATTTTAATGCATGTTAAATATCTTCCTTTGGGAGCCAAGACTCTGAAAACTTTTCTCTTTTCTTTTTCCCGTAGAAGGCCAGAAATGTTCACATTCGGACCCGATTGAGAGTTCTGATTCCTATGGAGACCTCTCTGACACCAGTGACCTCAAGACTCCTGAGAAGCAGAGCACCAATGGGTCCTTCTCGTGTGACCTGGCAGTCAGCAAAAACAAAATGGAGGTGGAAGGAGAGAAGAAGTACCCGTGCCCCGAATGCGGCAGCTTTTTCAGATCCAAGTCTTATCTGAACAAACACATACAGAAAGTGCACGTCAGGGCCCTTGGGGGCCCGCTGGGGGACCTGGGTCCTGCTCTGGGATCCCCCTTCTCACCCCAACAGAACATGTCTCTTCTGGAGTCCTTTGGGTTTCAGATCGTCCAGTCAGCATTTGCATCGTCCCTGGTGGATCCAGAGGTCGACCAGCAACCAATGGGGCCAGAGGGGAAATGAGATCAGTTGGATCTTAACAAAGCAAAGCAGCAGTCTGGCCCTAATGATAAGATGCTGTGAATGAAAGAGGAAATAATGAAATTTGGTTCTATAGCTGAGAATTTTTTATTCATTTTAGCTTCCTTCTTTGTCTCATGCCCTACCCCACCTTTAAACCTTCACTGGGGAGAGGGAGAAAATGCTTCTTTAGCTGATAAATTACAGAGGATGGTGGCCTTGAATAGGAGATATGACCCAAAACAAATGGAGCTTTAGAGGCTGCTGGTGGTGTTTCCCTTGTGTTCTTTGAGAGTAATCAAGAGTTACCAGCACTGGTCTGAGAATGAGACAGTCCTAGTGACCGAGGCACCTGGGGAGCTGCAGCTACAGGGAGCTGTGATTTTTTTCTCCCTCTATTCCCCTGCCCTCCCTAAACTCCCCCAGAAAAACAGTAAGTTTAAAAAACAGACCCATTATTGAATATAAGGTTAAGTAAAATGCCCCATGGTTCCTAGCAGGTTACAATGCAGTTGTCCTTTTAAAACCAGAAACATTTAAAGAAGGTGAGAGAATTCGATCCCCTTCTGCCTTTGTGAGGCTGTGAGTGCTGCAGCAGGACTGAACTGCTGAGAAAAATCACCTTTCAGAACAGGTTGTTTTGATTACTTTTGACCATTAAACTTGCTGTCAGGTTTTTAATTCTTTATTATTATTATTATTTTAGGACCTGTTGTAGTGAATTGCTACTGAAAAGCCAGTCTAAGGCGGTACACAGAGCACTCGTAAAGCAGCAGTCACATTAGGGTTAGTATGAGATTTTTTTTTTTTTTTAGATGTACCATAATTAATAACTTGGCTAGTTGGTTGTTTTAAGTCTATGAAAGAAATAGTTTTTATGAAAATAAAAAAAGAGAAAAAAAAAAAGGAAGGAAAAATACCATTACAGTCTGGTTGACTGGTGCTCATTTTTCATGTGGGGACCTAGGGGATGAACACGATCAGCTATCGGGTTAACACTATGTACCACTGACTTGTTTAGTGTGAATAAACCCAGGGGTTCTCAGAGTGATTTTGGTTTAATTGGATTGGACTCTATTAAAGAAGTTAGTATGTTACTTTGCATCCCCTCGTTTTGTCTGGTTTTTGAGCAGTTTAGCCACCTGTCCAAAAGGTGTGCAAATGAGAGCAGGAATTAAATGTGAATCCCACTCTGCACTGTGCTGTATTCTCAGTGAGCTGGGCTTTTTGGCCAGTCATGCTCTCCTGATCTGTCTCTGGTCAGGTTTGCAAAAGCCACTGTTACTCCTTTCTTTTCCAAATGAGGTAGGAATTGCAAACAGCATCTCTTTGAAAAAGAATTGATTACAAAATGCAAAGAAGCTGCACTCCAGGCTGTTGGACATTCCATTTAATCTGAAAATACCACTTGTGCAGAAATAATGTCCTTTCTTGACCCTCCCTTTCCTTCCATGTAACTAGTCATGGTTTTATGTACCAAACCCAGGTATAAATGTTGTTTAACACAGGGTTAGGAGTTAGGAATACTCTGAGTTTTAATTATGGTTCTGCTGTTGATGCTCAAAGTCACATAGAACAGTTTCCTGAATTTATTCCTTATTTTCATATCTGTGAAGAATCTTCTCTACATCACAATTGTTGAGAGAGTTATTGAGCAAAGGTTTAAGGAGGGATTTGGTAAACTGCTTTGTGTATTGAATGTTTCTAAAAAGGCCATTCTGAGAGCCCATGTCCTGCACCAAACATGCATCCCATGAAACCATATCTGTGTCCATCATTAGTGCAGTGCTGGAGCAGGACAGACCCTCTTGGACCAGGTTCTCATTTGCTGCAGGAGATCTGTGTGTGTAAACATGCACAAAATGTTCTTGTACCACAGCCTGCATTGCCCAGGTGCTTCTAACCCAAACCCTGCAGCTGATGCTTAACTGCTATTCCCAATTTGTTTTTATGTTAGAATTAGAGAGGCATTTGTAAGTATATGGATTTTGGAATTACATTCTAAATTCTACAGGGTTACAAGACCCAGATTCCCTCTTGTAAGAAGCTACTTTTTGTACTTGCTCTCTACTATTATAAATCAAGGATGAATAATCAATGGCTTTCTCTTTATAGCACCAGCACTTTCTAAATTGAGAGCATGTTGCAGTGGACTTGATGTTTTGCTATTAATCTGTGTTGGGAGACTGAAGGACATGTTCTTCTCCAGTCATCTCCTCCCAGAATCCTGGAATAGGTATGAGCCTCATTTAAAAGGAAAAACCAGTGAAACAAACTAAAACTTCATGGAATTGCTCTTGTACTGGTAAGATTAGTAGACAGGTAAAAACAGAATATCTTAGAAAAGTGGCAAAACATTTTAAAATACCTTACAAATCTAGTGCTGAGACAACCTTGTAAGCTGCCAAGCAAATCAGGAGAGATCAGGCTTTCCAGTCAGCACAACAATTTGTTGGGATTAGCAAATGCAGCTGCAGTCACTGATTTACTAATAGCTCATCATTAATCCACCAGGGAAATTTCTGTTGAACTGAAGCTGTATGCTGAAAGACAGAGGTTTTTGTCCCCAGTGTTCCTGTGTGCACTCAAAGGTGCATTAATCATAAAATTCAACTCCAATAAGTCCAGAGTATGGAATACTTTCATCCTACATTTAGTTCCCCTGACTTTAGTGTTACAAGTGGGTTGAGTTTTGGCTGTTATCTATCAGAATTTAATTTTGAATGCTACAGAATTTGACCTGGTGAAACAAAAGCCTTTATCTGAAAACGAAGCCTTCAAAACCACTGTGTATTCTGCTTGTCAAAGAAAATGCTTACTAAGTTGTCATGAATACATTGAATGAAAACTACTTACTTCTCAGTCTAGTGGACAGGGAAACAATCAGGCAGGAGGTTAACAATCCTGAAATGGCAGTTCTAGATCATCCTGGTGTAAATGGGAGAGATTTGTAGCAACACAGGAGGCTGCTGCAGGCCAGTGCCAGTAGGAAGTTGGGCAGATCTTTAGCTGTGCTGTGTTTTCAGTGCTTTTTGCTTCTTTGGGGGCACAGTGTTCCATTCTGGACAGTAATTTAATCTACATGCAAATTCTTTCTGTTCTGTACTTTGGGAAATGCCTGTTTCTTGTAGAACATGAGACAGATCCAAACAGAACACTCAGCCTCACAAGTTCAGAGTTCAAAGGGAATATGTAACAGGCCTTGAGCTGCAGCTTGTTGCCATTACATTTGATTTTTAATTGGTGTGTAGATGATAGTTCTGATCTGGGCCACCCTGCCCTCCTTGCCTTCCCCTTTGGAGGGACTGCAAGCCAATGCTTGAGTTGGTGCACATGTCAAGAATGAAACTTCAGTTCATGCAAATTTATATCATCAGACTTGGAGTATTTGTTTGTATTAGAGGAGTCCCATAACCTCTCATCTGAGGCTCAAGCCTTGTGTATTAGGCATGATGAAAACATCTTCATTCATTCATAATTTAAATATTAAAGACAGATAAGAAAGGAATAGATGCTTATGAGAGAATGAGTGAAAGATAAAGGACTAAAACCCACTTGCATGCATGCTTAAGTGTTGTCTTAAATGGGAGGGCACAAACTTCTCAGGCTTTTGTTGCCTGAATTTATAAATGTTAATCCTGAACAAGTGCAAGGTAAAGCAATTTAATGTGAATTTATTCCATACTCAGTTAAATTAGGTGATGTGATCTTGCATTTGTCATGTCTCAAATGTGTGCAAACAGTGTGGCTCACCTGACACATGGCAATGTGCATGTGAGCTCTCAATCCTAAGTGATTTGCCCATGATGATATGGGAAATTGATAGCAGAACCAGAAATTGAACACAGATTTTTCCTTCTCTCAATCCAGTGCCTTAATTATAGTAGGGCAAAGTATTATATGTTGGGGGGATGGGGTTTTTTTTGTTTCTAAAGCCTAGAACTATTAAGATGGTGTGGAGTTGGTCTTCCTGCCAATCTTTTGAATAATTGTAAATGCCCAGTCACAATTTTAGACCTGTTTGAGTGCCAGTGACTTAGGGAATATTTGTTATTTCCCATGTATTCCCTGAAATTATTGTTCCTCCCTCAACTGCTGTCAGCAGTAAGGAATGACTTGAATAGAAGAGCTGTGTAACTGAATGTCTATAACTCAACTAATTGAATTGCTAGTATGAAAGCTAACCTAGATTTTGTAGGCTCTGTTGTAACTTTAGTGTCTTGTTTTTTCACTAAATCTTTGTTCCTAGAATTCAGTATCTAAACTTACGTCTTGAGTCGGGAGTGGGGTACCACTTTCAGCTTTAATTTTTTTTAAGGTGCTTGCTTGAGGAAGTAGATGCCAAAGTAAATTTCAAAGGAACTCCAGACTTCAGTGTTGGAAGAATGAATGGAGAGCAAGAGCTCTCCTTGGGTTTCATGAGAGATAAATGGACAAAGTAAAAAACAGCCACCAAAATTCTAAGTAATGAAACAGGAAAGGTTTTTCTTTACCACCCACAAAAGTAATAAAATATTTTCAATTGTCACCATGGCATAAAGTCTGAGAGCAAGTGCCAAACAACACAATGTGCTGGCTTTTTCAGCATTATGATTATACCTTAACAGCATTGTCAATACCCAAATGTAAATTAAGCCAGCTTAGTACTGCTCCCCTTTTTCTTGGGCACAATACCTGAATTTTATTTGAACGGAGCAGAAGCTCACAGTGAATTTGTGAGCTTAGGCTCTCAATTCTACCCTGAGAGACAAAACAAATGAGCAAAGAGGGGGGAAAAATAAACCCACAAGGAAAACTTAAAAGGAAAACAAATTCTGGAAGGCTCCAGTGTCTCTTGAAAGAGCCACATTTTTTTATCCTGAACATCCTTTTCAAAACAAGATCCTTCAGCTGTTGTGAATGAGCCCTTGGGAACAGATTTGGCTTCCAGCCCAATGTGCTGCAGCTCCCTGGCCCTGTGAGCAGGAGCATGTTCCAGAGATCCAGAGGGAGGGGCAGGCAGTGCTGCTGGGCTGCAGCCACAGGCACTGCTACAGAGCACCAGCACTGCACAGAGTTCTGTGCTGCTGCTTTCATCTTCATCCTCACCCTCCTCACAGCCTGTGCATCCTGCTCGGATGTGTGCAGCTCTGCAAAGGGCTGCTGCCTGTAAAACTAAGCAGGAGCTGTTTGGCTAAGAGCTAAAAAGGGAAAGCACCACGTTAAAAGAGTGCTGGGACAAAACTGCAGTGATGCAGCCCTGGCTCTCAGGGGCTGTGGTGATGGTTGGAATGGTTATGGCACATAGTGAAAAACCACAGCTGTGCTCTCTGTGGTGGCAGGCACTGATGGCCTGTTTGCCAAGAATTACCTCCCTGTGTCATCTCTAGCCTCTTCCTGTCTGTGTTCCTGTCTGTGAGATGAGATGATGATAACCTTTGGGTGAGAACGTGCCAATGTTTCATTGATGTGCCATATTGTGCTGCACAGTTGTGTTGCTGAACTCTGTCACAAATGTTTGGCCTCACTGACTTCAGATGTAATGCAAAGTTAAACAAACATTTGGCCACATTTTTCCTGAAAGGTGTGATATTTAAATTTATTTAAAGACTGCCTGGCACTGTTGATCTGCTCTCAGGGTTTATGTGAACGAAGCTTTTCCTGGGTGGCCTCCATACTTGTACTGCAATTTTGGAGACCTGGAAGTGCTCTGAGCCAAGATATGCTGAAGGAGGGAGGTAACTGGAATCTCACTGATGTTCAGTGACTCCCTCCCAGCTCCTGTGTTCCATGTGGACCATGGAGTCACTTCATGCAGCCACTGGCAGCCATAAATGCTCTTGAGCATCCTGCAGTCACATAGTGACCTTGGGTAAGTGATTTTATAATAAATCAATCTCATGCTTGCTAAAACCTTTTTGGCTGCTGTGTCTACAAACTGGTGCCTTCTCCAGGCAAATTTTACATGCCCTCTGCAAAGCTGTCAGACTGACTGCTGGCTCTTAAGGAATCAACCAAGCCTTGCTCTTGGGCTCAGAATTTTTCTTCGGTACTGTTGTAATCTGAAAGTTTGCTGCAATTAGTGCAAATACCAGAGGAAGAGAGAAAATAAAAGGCTGTTCTTA